TTTTCAAACCAAGCCATAGGAGATTATTTTAAACCATATAAGGATTTGCAAAGACGGTATATCAACCTATAAAACTCAATGTATTGGTAACAGAAGGTAGGTCAGAAGGCGTCATTGACGGTACAATGATCACCTGACAAGACTATGGATTTTAAGCCTAATTTAACTCCGGAGAGGTGAAATTTGCATTCACTTATATACTCTAAATTGACCTTATTTATGTGTGATTTTCAACACTCCTTCACTTCTGGAGCGGATACTAAACATTAATGGATGGTTCAACAATAGTCCAATAAAGTGAAATAATATATTCAACAAATAACAAATATAATTATATAAACTCTAAGAATTACTATAATATTATAAGTATATTTTATTTTTGTTTAAATGATAATATTTATTTTAATATTTAAAAAAAAAGTAAGAAATGAAATGAAGTGAAAAAAAGTAAGAAAAAAATTAGAGAAAATTAAAATAACAACATAATGAAATAAATAAACGCAGAAGAGAGACATTAAAGTGAAAGGAGTGAGAGTTGTTTGGAGTGCGTGATACCTTCCGTTTATCTTCTTCCTCTTCTTCTTCTGTGTGCAATAAAGGCAAAACCTAAATTTTGGTTTAGGCATAGGAATCAGTGTTGATCTGGTATGGAGGGAGCATCGTGGAACAGCAGTGTTTGTGTGGCACCGTTTCTGAGCAAAACCTACGACATGGTAGACGACCCCTCCACCGATTCCGTCGTGTCGTGGGGCGAACACAACAACACCTTTGTTGTCTGGAACGTTCCCCAGTTCGCCACAGACATCTTGCCCAAACATTTTAAGCATAACAACTTCTCCAGCTTCGTCAGACAGTTGAATACTTATGTGGGCATCGCATCACTTTTCCTCCGATTATTCTTTTACTATTGTTCTTAGTTTTATTGCTAATTTTCTCTTTTATTTTGTTTTTCTGTTTCGGGGTCAGAGGGATCGTGGTTTCTTGTTGTTGTGCGCTCGATGGATTTGAAGGGTTTTGTTGTTTTCTGTTGGGTTTTATATTTGTGCTTTATGGGAAACCCTATCTTGTTGTTTTATTTCATTCCATGTAGCACGTTCTATCTTTCAATACTGTGGCGTCTCATTGATTGGTATGAATCTCGAATTTGCAGGTCAGTATTACACCTTCATTGGGTATGCTCGACTTTAGTAAATTTGGCTTAGCTGGGCAAAATTTTGGTTAGATCTGGGTTTGCATAGTAAGTTAGCGAAGTGAACTCTATTTTCTTTTACTTTTGTTTTTTTCTATATCTTGTTATAGGTTAAAATATGTCAATATGTGTATGAGGAAACCGAGTTTGATGACCCCTTGATTAAAGATGCTGTCAGTCTGTTTTCCTTACTTTCTCTCTTTTCCCCTGTTTCTGAACTAGGTTTTCGTTGTCTAGGAGTTAAGTCCAGTAAAGCATGAGAAAACTACAAGCTTAAATTCTGATTGAAAGCAATTTTCTCTTGATAGAAGTTATTGCAAATAATTTTTGCTTGTTTTTACCATGATTGAAATTGCCCCTTCTCGGTGTTTGGTCGTGAGACTGGCTGCTTAAGTTGAAAATCTTATGATACTCGATAATACTAGGAACAATTACGTAAATAATCGTTCTTGGCCTTCCTGTTCTGCTGCGCAATTTATGAGAGTCCATATCATCTCTAAGTTTTGTTATTAATACACTTGAGCAATGACGTGGTCCGATTCAAAGATTGAAAAAAGGGATGGATACATTAGCTGGTGCTACCAGTGTGCAAAATTTATAATTGTGACTATGGTAGCTTTAGGGTAGGTTGATTAAAAAGAGATCATAGAATATAATTTAGAAACTTGTGATTAAAGACAACCTTTGGTTATGTGCTGTAGAAATATATTGCAATGATGTAATAAGGATATAGGTTATGTCCAATATAGGTCCTTGTTTTGCACTCTTGAAAGAATTTAATTAATTGTCACAATTTATTCTACTGCTATCTAAGTAAATTTACTTGTATCTCACACACTCATCGAGAATATTGTTTCACATGCCATCTCGCCTTCACAAGTTATTATTAGTATTACGTGTAATTTTAATTTAGGTGGATTACTTGTTTAGTTTACACATATTTTCTTCTCTTAATCTATATTATTCAATGATTTCCTTTTTACTGACAAACAGGGTTTTAAGAAGGTTGATCCAGATCAATGGGAATTTGCAAATGAAGGATTTTTAAGAGGGGAAAAACAACTTCTAAAAAGTATTAGTAGGCGTAAATCTGCCCATATAAATGGTAGTCAGCAACCATCTCAAGTGCAAAAATCAGCTGTTAGAGCATGTGTCGAGGTGGGAAAATTTGGGATTGAGGAAGAGGTGGAAATACTGAAAAGGGATAAGAATGTTCTTATGCAGGAACTAGTTAGGTTGAGACAGAAACAGCAAGTGACTGATAACCAGTTGCAAAATGTTGGGCAACGCGTGCAGTCAATGGAGCAGCGCCAGCAGCAAATGATGTCATTCCTAGCAAAGGCCATGCACAGCCCTGGCTTCTTAGCTCAATTTGTACAGCAGCAGAATGAAAGTAAGAAACATATCACCGGGGCTAATAAAAAGAGGAGGCTCCACAGTCAGGAGAAGGATAATTTAACCACCAACAGTCTCCATAGTGGTCTTGATGGACACGTAGTCAAGTACCAGAGTTCCATAAACAATGCTGCAAAATCATTATTTCGCCAGATATTGCAGATAAACAATTCTGCCGCAACCCAATCATCAATTAAGAACCCTGATGTTTTTCTCATTGACGATATCCCTTCTACCATTGCATCAGATAGCAGCAGTTCATCCACTCAGGTTTCTAATGTGACCCTTTCTACTGTTCCTCCTGTTTCTGAACTAACAAGTATGGAAGTAGACTCCCAGTTTCCCGTCAATTGTATGCCCAGTATATCCGAGGTGCAATCTTCACCTGCTGTCTTGGGCTTTTGTCAGAGTCAAGGGGTGGAAGCTGCAAGCAGTTTATTGAATCATAATCTGAATGGTGTGGAGGGGAACATGGCGGAGATAGATGTGTCATCTGTTTTGGATGGACCGCACACTGTAGAAGCTGGTTATTCTTCACCCGATGCAGATGGAATTTCCCAACTCCCTGATATCGATGATGAGTTCTGGGAGTTGTTTTTCAGGCCAAGCCCACTTACAGGAGACGCAGAGGAAATTAAATTTAGCACTCTAGGATGTGGTCTGACTGAAGACCAGGGTTTGCCTTTGGAAAGGGAAAATGAGAAGAAAAATGTTGATAAGATGCAGCATGTTGACAATCTTACTAAACAGATGGGACTTCTTGCATCAAAGTCCTAATTGTGTAGATATGTTTCTTGCAACTGAAGGTAAATTTTTTAGACTGGAGTATCTCACTTATACATCATTATAAGCATACTGGTTCCTGTAGTTCCCTCTACTAAAACAAGTGTAAAATCTCCTCTCGTTGTTATCATGCTCAATTGCTGTGTAACCAAAGAGAGAAAATTACTTCACATGTACTTCCATATCCATATTTTGGTACAACTTACAACAAGGTGGTGTAAGAGTTGGAGCGGGAATTTACTCTCATTTCTCCCTTGACATATATATCTATAACCTAATTGTATCGACATGGCAATTATATGCGTCCTTTCTTTGCTCTTAACATATGCATGAATTGGTTGGTTTGGGGAAAATGAAATGAAGTTGGGCAGTGTAATGTTTTAGTTTCCAACGCTTTTCTGTTCATGATTCCTACACAGGTTTAGGTCCTTTGCTGCTGAGCAGACAAAGTCATCTTACATATGTATACATAAAGAAAGCTGACAGATATCATCCAACAACTTGATCAGTGCCTTTTCTTTTATCTGGCTGAAATGTCGTGTGCTTTGGTTGTGATTAGGGGCTTAAAAACACGAAGCTACGAAACTTCATATATATCCTATGTATTTTGAATTTTGGCTATTGTGCCACTAGTTTCCAATACTAGCTTGCTGCTGCTTTCCTTTACCCTTTGGAACAGTACAATACTTTTATTAGCTCTTGGATTGCTGCAGAATTACTACTAAATTAAAAAAGAAAGTAGTTTTTTTTATAATAAATATTTAATTAGTTTAAGTGGGTTATACATTTAAAGATTAAATGGGTTATTTATCCCAAATAAATTAGCTTGTAAATACAATTATTTATAATAATTGTAACAAACAANGCATCTCTTATATCTAAAAGACAAAAACAAGTCAAATTAATTAAATATAAAACTTAAGTTAACATATATATTAAGTTTATTACAAATATAATCAATTATCAATCCTATAAAAACTTTAAGAAAATACTGCTAACTGATCAATTAAATTAATGAACTAAATATTGATATATCCAAATACAATTTTCTTTCAAATGAAATAATAATTAATTTCAATGTGTTTGGTCTTCATTATTATTATTTGTAAGAACAATGTCATCTTATTAAACTTTTTTCAAACCAAGCCATAGGAGATTATTTTAAACCATATAAGGATTTGCAAAGACGGTATATCAACCTATAAAACTCAATGTATTGGTAACAGAAGGTAGGTCAGAAGGCGTCATTGACGGTACAATGATCACCTGACAAGACTATGGATTTTAAGCCTAATTTAACTCCAAAGAGGTGAAATTTGCATTCACTTATATACTCTAAATTGACCTTATTTATGTGTGATTTTCAACAATCCTTCACTTCTGGAGCGGATACTAAACATTAATGGATGGTTCAACAATAGTCCAATAAAGTGAAATAATATATTCAACAAATAACAAATATAATTATATAAACTCTAAGAATTACTATAATATTATAAGTATATTTTATTTTTGTTTAAATGATAATATTTATTTTAATATTTAAAAAAAAGTAAGAAATGAAATGAAGTGAAAAAAAGTAAGAAAAAAATTAGAGAAAATTAAAATAACAACACAATGAAATAAATAAACGCAGAAGAGAGACATTAAAGTGAAAGGAGTGAGAGTTGTTTGGAGTGCGTGATACCTTCCGTTTATCTTCTTCCTCTTCTTCTTCTGTGTGCAATAAAGGCAAAACCTAAATTTTGGTTTAGGCATAGGAATCAGTGTTGATCTGGTATGGAGGGAGCATCGTGGAACAGCAGTGTTTGTGTGGCACCGTTTCTGAGCAAAACCTACGACATGGTAGACGACCCCTCCACCGATTCCGTCGTGTCGTGGGGCGAACACAACAACACCTTTGTTGTCTGGAACGTTCCCCAGTTCGCCACAGACATCTTGCCCAAACATTTTAAGCATAACAACTTCTCCAGCTTCGTCAGACAGTTGAATACTTATGTGGGCATCGCATCACTTTTCCTCCGATTATTCTTTTACTATTGTTCTTAGTTTTATTGCTAATTTTCTCTTTTATTTTGTTTTTCTGTTTCGGGGTCAGAGGGATCGTGGTTTCTTGTTGTTGTGCGCTCGATGGATTTGAAGGGTTTTGTTGTTTTCTGTTGGGTTTTATATTTGTGCTTTATGGGAAACCCTATCTTGTTGTTTTATTTCATTCCATGTAGCACGTTCTATCTTTCAATACTGTGGCGTCTCATTGATTGGTATGAATCTCGAATTTGCAGGTCAGTATTACACCTTCATTGGGTATGCTCGACTTTAGTAAATTTGGCTTAGCTGGGCAAAATTTTGGTTAGATCTGGGTTTGCATAGTAAGTTAGCGAAGTGAACTCTATTTTCTTTTACTTTTGTTTTTTTCTATATCTTGTTATAGGTTAAAATATGTCAATATGTGTATGAGGAAACCGAGTTTGATGACCCCTTGATTAAAGATGCTGTCAGTCTGTTTTCCTTACTTTCTCTCTTTTCCCCTGTTTCTGAACTAGGTTTTCGTTGTCTAGGAGTTAAGTCCAGTAAAGAATGAGAAAACTACAAGCTTAAATTCTGATTGAAAGCAATTTTCTCTTGATAGAAGTTATTGCAAATAATTTTTGCTTGTTTTTACCATGATTGAAATTGCCCCTTCTCGGTGTTTGGTCGTGAGACTGGCTGCTTAAGTTGAAAATCTTATGATACTCGATAATACTAGGAACAATTACGTAAATAATCGTTCTTGGCCTTCCTGTTCTGCTGCGCAATTTATGAGAGTCCATATCATCTCTAAGTTTTGTTATTAATACACTTGAGCAATGACGTGGTCCGATTCAAAGATTGAAAAAAGGGATGGATACATTAGCTGGTGCTACCAGTGTGCAAAATTTATAATTGTGACTATGGTAGCTTTAGGGTAGGTTGATTAAAAAGAGATCATAGAATATAATTTAGAAACTTGTGATTAAAGACAACCTTTGGTTATGTACTGTAGAAATATATTGCAATGATGTAATAAGGATATAGGTTATGTCCAATATAGGTCCTTGATTTGCACTCTTGAAAGAATTTAATTAATTGTCACAATTTATTCTACTGCTATCTAAGTAAATTTACTTGTATCTCACACACTCATCGAGAATATTGTTTCACATGCCATCTCGCCTTCACAAGTTATTATTAGTATTACGTGTAATTTTAATTTAGGTGGATTACTTGTTTAGTTTACACATATTTTCTTCTCTTAATCTATATTATTCAATGATTTCCTTTTTACTGACAAACAGGGTTTTAAGAAGGTTGATCCAGATCAATGGGAATTTGCAAATGAAGGATTTTTAAGAGGGGAAAAACAACTTCTAAAAAGTATTAGTAGGCGTAAATCTGCCCATATAAATGGTAGTCAGCAACCATCTCAAGTGCAAAAATCAGCTGTTAGAGCATGTGTCGAGGTGGGAAAATTTGGGATTGAGGAAGAGGTGGAAATACTGAAAAGGGATAAGAATGTTCTTATGCAGGAACTAGTTAGGTTGAGACAGAAACAGCAAGTGACTGATAACCAGTTGCAAAATGTTGGGCAACGCGTGCAGTCAATGGAGCAGCGCCAGCAGCAAATGATGTCATTCCTAGCAAAGGCCATGCACAGCCCTGGCTTCTTAGCTCAATTTGTACAGCAGCAGAATGAAAGTAAGAAACATATCACCGGGGCTAATAAAAAGAGGAGGCTCCACAGTCAGGAGAAGGATAATTTAACCACCAACAGTCTCCATAGTGGTCTTGATGGACACGTAGTCAAGTACCAGAGTTCCATAAACAATGCTGCAAAATCATTATTTCGCCAGATATTGCAGATAAACAATTCTACCGCAACCCAATCATCAATTAAGAACCCTGATGTTTTTCTCATTGACGATATCCCTTCTACCATTGCATCAGATAGCAGCAGTTCATCCACTCAGGTTTCTAATGTGACCCTTTCTACTGTTCCTCCTGTTTCTGAACTAACAAGTATGGAAGTAGACTCCCAGTTTCCCGTCAATTGTATGCCCAGTATATCCGAGGTGCAATCTTCACCTGCTGTCTTGGGCTTTTGTCAGAGTCAAGGGGTGGAAGCTGCAAGCAGTTTATTGAATCATAATCTGAATGGTGTGGAGGGGAACATGGCGGAGATAGATGTGTCATCTGTTTTGGATGGACCGCACACTGTAGAAGCTGGTTATTCTTCACCCGATGCAGATGGAATTTCCCAACTCCCTGATATCGATGATGAGTTCTGGGAGTTGTTTTTCAGGCCAAGCCCACTTACAGGAGACGCAGAGGAAATTAAATTTAGCACTCTAGGATGTGGTCTGACTGAAGACCAGGGTTTGCCTTTGGAAAGGGAAAATGAGAAGAAAAATGTTGATAAGATGCAGCATGTTGACAATCTTACTAAACAGATGGGACTTCTTGCATCAAAGTCCTAATTGTGTAGATATGTTTCTTGCAACTGAAGGTAAATTTTTTAGACTGGAGTATCTCACTTATACATCATTATAAGCATACTGGTTCCTGTAGTTCCCTCTACTAAAACAAGTGTAAAATCTCCTCTCGTTGTTATCATGCTCAATTGCTGTGTAACCAAAGAGAGAAAATTACTTCACATGTACTTCCATATCCATATTTTGGTACAACTTACAACAAGGTGGTGTAAGAGTTGGAGCGGGAATTTACTCTCATTTCTCCCTTGACATATATATCTATAACCTAATTGTATCGACATGGCAATTATATGCGTCCTTTCTTTGCTCTTAACATATGCATGAATTGGTTGGTTTGGGGAAAATGAAATGAAGTTGGGCAGTGTAATGTTTTAGTTTCCAACGCTTTTCTGTTCATGATTCCTACACAGGTTTAGGTCCTTTGCTGCTGAGCAGACAAAGTCATCTTACATATGTATACATAAAGAAAGCTGACAGATATCATCCAACAACTTGATCAGTGCCTTTTCTTTTATCTGGCTGAAATGTCGTGTGCTTTGGTTGTGATTAGGGGCTTAAAAACACGAAGCTACGAAACTTCATATATATCCTATGTATTTTGAATTTTGGCTATTGTGCCACTAGTTTCCAATACTAGCTTGCTGCTGCTTTCCTTTACCCTTTGGAACAGTACAATACTTTTATTAGCTCTTGGATTGCTGCAGAATTACTACTAAATTAAAAAAGAAAGTAGTTTTTTTTATAATAAATATTTCATTAGTTTAAGTGGGTTATACATTTAAAGATTAAATGGGTTATTTATCCCAAATAAATTAGCTTGTAAATACAATTATTTATAATAATTGTAACAAACAAAACAAATATTTGGGTCTATATGAAAACTAAAATTTTATTGATGGTTATAATAAATTTGTTATTTTAACCGAGTAAGCAAATATCTTTTAATTCTCAAGTATATTGTTATGTAATCATTACATTAAAAAACAATAAATTATTTGATACCAACTACTATTATTTATAATTTTTAAAAAGAAAATATTTCAATCATAAAAGAAAAACAATTTCTAAAATGATCCTAAAAGTTTCTGTCTAAAGTAAAAAAATACAATTATGTTAAAAAAATAATATAAACTCAGATATAATTATCTTTAAAATTATATTCTATTCAATGTATATTTATAATATTAGAATATTTTATATTAAAAATTTATTACACAAATTAGACGAAAACCTTAACTAATTTAAATATAATGATTTTGTCCACAACTGAAAGGTAAAATATTCATATATTAAAAAGTATAACAAGGAAACTAATTATATTCACCAAATAAAAGTATCTCATATGGTTGTATATTATAAAATATACAATATAATATATATAAACAACATGATATATTTCATCTTGCAATTGTGATAGTTTGAATTTATCTTTGGAAATATAAATAAGATCTTAACTGTTATATTTTATTTATCTCAAGAATCAGATATTATTTCTGTATTATTACAAAAAATATCCCTTAGTTTATGCAGAAAATGTAATCAGAAATTAGCTTTGATCATATGATATAATATAAGATTTTTTGTATTGATTAAAAAACCTCACCGAAATAAAAGGGGAGATTTAGGTGAATCAATTCCTAGGTTAACAAAATTTAATTTCAGTAGCGTTAAAAATTGTTTACTCATATCAGAAGGCTAAGGGCACTATCATTACCACTGCCACTACCGTTTCTCCACCGTCCGCCGCGTCCCTCGGCGACCTGACCCGCCGTAATCGGTCGCATCCGCCGTGAAGCAACTAAGCACTCCACGCTATGGACTTCGACGACTTAGAAGAAGCGCCAGTGAAGGCCGCTTCTAGAGTCTCCAAGTTTGCGCCAAAATCATCGAAGCTCAAACCTAAACCAAAAGTGGTACCTGGCCCCAAAACTGAACCTCAACCCCAACCCCAACCCGAACCATCTATCTCCAAACCAGAGTCTCAAGAATTCGTTGCAACTGTCAAAAAGAACGAAGATGGCGTAGCAACAGTGTCACCAATTCATATAAAGCCTGAACTCAACACCGATGTCCAAATGGAAACGGAACCGAAATCTGAACCCGAGGACGAAGCAGAAGCAGGACGAGATGATCCCATGGACGAAGATACTCCCGAAGACACAGTTATACGCGAAATTGACGTTTTCTTCACACCTTCTATTGATGCCGAGACTCAGGTTGGCGTTTCGCTCACGCCATTTTGTTTGTTCGATTCTGCAGTTTTTTTTTTTTTCATAATTTGAGGGTAATTTTCCCTTGTCGCTTTTTAGTTGTATGTTTTTCAGTATCCCTTGAGACCTAGTTGGCGACCTTACGACATAGATGACAGATGCGAAGAGGTATGTTTGTTGAATAGATTTTCTGGAGGAAAATGGGATATCAATCACGTTCACGTTCCTTTTAATTATTATTGTGTAGGTAAGGTTGAAACCAGAGAGTTCAGAAGTGGAGCTTGATTTACCCATTGAAATGGAGTCAAGTAATATTGACAGAGAGTTTGCCAACAAACACAACGTCACCAAGCAGGTTTACTTCTTTATTACTGCGATTATCTCTATGATGAGGTGTACATCATTTTTGCATTTCAAGTGTGTCTTACAAACCACACTGAGTAAAGTAAAATAACCAAGATGTTTGGTTAAACAAGTGATGACGAAGTTTCTAGGGCTTCTTGGCTCTAAAATTAGCAATATAAGTGTATTTCTATTGAATATTTTATGGAGAAAGACTCAAGTAGTTTTGATGCGGGCTTGGCAATTTAGAAGCCATTATTCCCTGGATATATTAGTGCTCCTTTATGATATCTTGGCTACTTGTTTGAAATTAGCATCCTTCAAAATACTTATTTGTTGGTTCCACTTGCACGTGCGAAGATGTGTGAAACTGGCAAACCTAGTTACTTTTGCTAGTTTTCCTTAGGACATCTTGGTCGTGTTTTGATAAATGGCTTAGTTATACATTTATTGGATATCTGAACTTATGTTATAATTTTGTCAATAAAAGTCTTACTTCACTCAAGATCTGTTTTAATGAAGTTAAAAATAGTTTACAGGAGTTATAAGCCATTGTCTAAGCCCACATAAACTTTTCTAGATGCCCCTTAAATGAGGGTTAAAGGATGGGGCCGGAATTACTTTAAATTACGTCATTTTATTTGTGGCTTGTCAATGTTACTTAATTTTCAACATGTTAATTTGGTATTGTTAAGAGAATCATAGTTAGTTTATGCTTCTCTTCATATATTGATGGGAAGTGCAATGAAAATTTAGCCTGTCAAAAGCTTGCTTCACCAATTAGCAGAAAACCTGCTGCAGTTTTTGCAAAAAGCATATTGTTTTCGTGAAATATTGCAAAGAATTACTTAAACTCATCAGAAGTACTTTTCCTATATTTTTAAATGGTTGTGTTAGACAACCAATGTATTAGTATAAAACTTTGTGAAATCTTTATGAAATGAACCAATGGTACAATGGTTCCCAATTGTTTGAACTTTGATCCATGCAGCTTGTTTCAACTAGTGATATAATGTTTGATTGGTGTTGATGTGTTCTTTATTTCTATTTTTTTTATTCCATGGTATGCTAAACCTTTTTGTTTGTCAAGTTGCCCCGATAAACTTTTAACACAAGAATATTTGAAGTTGATGCTTACAATTAAGTACTTTTATTTTGTACTTGTTACGTGTATTGGAAAAGCATTATATTGTGTGCATTGTAAGTATGATTCAATTGTTTTAATTCTCTTCAGACTTATTCAACTTCATGGAAGCCACCTCGTGCAGGTGGACAAGCTGCAACTGCTGCTGGGCTTCTTATGGGAGATAAGGTAATTATTTACCCCATTCTATTTTATGACTTGAACAAGGAATAAAAAGCGTGCCTTGAAATAAATGGTAAAACTTTGGATTACTTAAAAGAAAAATAATTGAACATAATCTTGTAAAGACTTATCAGGTTGGAATCATGAATGATTCACCCAGCAAAATTGATTGCTTTTCATTTAATTGCAGATGGTTATATTTAGCATTTTAAAGTATTATATAGTTCAGACGCATTATGTGTCTACTAACAACATTTTGTTTATATATATCTTCTGAGAGCATGATGATTTTATGAATTTTTCTTTTGTGATATTCAAGTTGATTGTTATTTTAGAAAAGAAATGTAAATTTGCCTACCTTTTTCTTCGTTACAGTTACACCTGCATCCAATTCATGCAGTTGTGCAGCTTCGACCAAAATTATATCATCTGAATTCTGGTGGTTCAAAAAGGAAGAATGTCACCTTAGCTGGGGCAAATGCTACAGTCAAAATTGAGGGCTCTAATGAAGAAAAGCCTGTTGCTACATCAAAGAAGCAGGTACCATGTATTTTTTCCATTCATGCATCATAGTTATTTTATTATGTCAGTTTAAATTTGATTTTACTAGAGCAAGGTGCCGGAATTATAGTTTTCATACAATGACATTGGCAATCTTGAATTATTTTTCCATGCACTTTTTTAGATAATTAGGTGGTTTATTTTAGGTTGGTTTATTTCAAGTAAATGTAGGATTAAAAAATCCATAATAGGCATGTATGTCCCCCCAAAAATAATAAAGTTACAAATGTTTGGTTGCTGCTTCATACTTACAAGATCATTGGCTTTGTTGTTCATAAATTGCTAAATTTAATATTTAGCAATTAGCACTTTGGTTCTATTTGTGCCAACTATGCTTGAAACTAGACATAGATTTTGTTATCTTGTGTGTTTAGTTCACAAGCTGTCTTGTTCCAGTATCAATCCATCTTGCAATTTTTTTCTGGTGCTTGTATTCTGTTAAGGCTTGTTAGCTAATTTCCTTCTAGCTAATATATTTTTCTTCTTTGTTGCAGAATAAGCCAACTGAACCATCTATTGAGCAAAAGAATGATGAGGATGAGGTACTATAGTAGTTAATCCTGCTGTGTGATTTACATATGATGTTTTTTGGTCTCTGCTGTGCATCTGCTCTGTCTATGCAAGGTTGAGTTTCAGTACAAGTCCATTGCTCCTCAGACTTGGCCTGTCTGTTGTCTCCATCTGGAAGTTTTGGCCAGACGAAGTAGTCTTGTAGCTGGGAAAGCTGCCTCTTTATGCTACCACTCCCTTGTCTAGTGAACCCTCTTCTCATTGTCAGACAGTCATTACTTTTGGCTGCATTCTGCTGGTTGCCCTTTTGGGTTGTTGTGAGAGTCATCTTCCCCGTTTCATGTCTATTATTTCTCAGTGCATTTTCTATTTGCTCTTTCCACTGTTCATACCTTTTAACGTTTGCAAATTAGTGTTGGATTTCGAGAGAAAGGATGGATCTCCTTCTTAAGAGAATAAGTTTTTCTTATCAGGCAATGGTTACAGAGAGTATTTCAACTAAAGGCTGTCCACTCAAGAATTATCTCTAACTCTCCTAATCTAGTAATTTTTCAGTTTGTTCATTTTAATCCTTGTCAAAGTTTTGTCTCCACAACTATACTCTGAATGCAATTTCTATTCCCTCCTCTCCCAGTTTATTTTTCTTAACATTTGCAGAAGTGTAGACGTTGGATTTCGAGGGAAAGGATGAAGTTTTAAGAGAATAAGTTTTTCTTATTGTCAGACAATGATTGCAAAGAGTATTTTTTAACTAAAGGCTGTCCATCAAGAACTACCTCCTCCTCAGTCTCTAAATCGAGTAGTTTTTTAAGTTTATTTCTCTCTATCATTTTCTTGTAAATCCTGGATTATGTACGCTGGAGCTCCTGATCACATAATTTCTAATCCTTCCCTTTCTCTAACTAATCTCCACAAAATCTCTGTATTTCGTCATGCCTGGCTATAATGTTAAGCTAGTGGCTACAGTCAAGTCTCTCCTTTTTTTTTTCCTGAAATTTGGATTACGTTCTTGTAGTGTCTTACAGTTCATTTAATTTAGTTTCCACTAATAAGTTGACATGCACTCTTTATTGTTCAATAACCTTTTTCTCTTATTATATGATGACAAATCCTAAGGGACAGTAAGGAAATAGGACCATTAATCCTCGAGGATAATATAAGACATTCTAAGATACAATAAAATATTTTTATAAGATGAAATTCATATATTCTAACAACTTCAATAAATGTTTATGGTTATGACCATGAATAATGGATGTAGGATTAGGACGATGGTTATTTTGTGTTTTTTGCACGGAACAATCTGTAACGAACTTGTGATACATTGATAAATAACATGTTCTCCTCTTAAATTAAGTATGAAATAGNTGCGCCAAAATCATCGAAGCTCAAACCTAAACCAAAAGTGGTACCTGGCCCCAAAACTGAACCTCAACCCCAACCCCAACCCGAACCATCTATCTCCAAACCAGAGTCTCAAGAATTCGTTGCAACTGTCAAAAAGAACGAAGATGGCGTAGCAACAGTGTCACCAATTCATATAAAGCCTGAACTCAACACCGATGTCCAAATGGAAACGGAACCGAAATCTGAACCCGAGGACGAAGCAGAAGCAGGACGAGATGATCCCATGGACGAAGATACTCCCGAAGACACAGTTATACGCGAAATTGACGTTTTCTTCACACCTTCTATTGATGCCGAGACTCAGGTTGGCGTTTCGCTCACGCCATTTTGTTTGTTCGATTCTGCAGTTTTTTTTTTCATAATTTGAGGGTAATTTTCCCTTGTCGCTTTTTAGTTGTATGTTTTTCAGTATCCCTTGAGACCTAGTTGGCGACCTTACGACATAGATGACAGATGCGAAGAGGTATGTTTGTTGAATAGATTTTCTGGAGGAAAATGGGATATCAATCAAGTTAACGTTCCTTTTAATTATTATTGTGTAGGTAAGGTTGAAACCAGAGAGTTCAGAAGTGGAGCTTGATTTACCCATTGAAATGGAGTCAAGTAATATTGACAGAGAGTTTGCCAACAAACACAACGTCACCAAGCAGGTTTACTTCTTTATTACTGCGATTATCTCTATGATGAGGTGTACATCATTTTTGCATTTCAAGTGTGTCTTACAAACCACACTGAGTAAAGTAAAATAACCAAGATGTTTGGTTAAACAAGTGATGACGAAGTTTCTAGGGCTTCTTGGCTCTAAAATTAGCAATATAAGTGTATTTCTATTGAATATTTTATGGAGAAAGACTCAAGTAGTTTTGATGCGGGCTTGGCAATTTAGAAGCCATTATTCCCTGGATATATTAGTGCTCCTTTATGATATCTTGGCTACTTGTTTGAAATTAGCATCCTTCAAAATACTTATTTGTTGGTTCCACTTGCACGTGCGAAGATGTGTGAAACTGGCAAACCTAGTTACTTTTGCTAGTTTTCCTTAGGACATCTTGGTCGTGTTTTGATAAATGGCTTAGTTATACATTTATTGGATATCTGAACTTATGTTATAATTTTGTCAATAAAAGTCTTACTTCACTCAAGATCTGTTTTAATGAAGTTAAAAATAGTTTAAAGGAGTTATAAGCCATTGTCTAAGCCCACATAAACTTTTCTAGATGCCCCTTAAATGAGGGTTAAAGGATGGGGCCGGAATTACTTTAAATTACGTCATTTTATTTGTGGCTTGTCAATGTTACTTAATTTTCAACATGTTAATTTGGTATTGTTAAGAGAATCATAGTTAGTTTATGCTTCTCTTCATATATTGATGGGAAGTGCAATGAAAATTTAGCCTGTCAAAAGCTTGCTTCACCAATTAGCAGAAAACCTGCTGCAGTTTTTGCAAAAAGCATATTGTTTTCGTGAAATATTGCAAAGAATTACTTAAACTCATCAGAAGTACTTTTCCTATATTTTTAAATGGTTGTGTTAGACAACCAATGTATTAGTATAAAACTTTGTGAAATCTTTATGAAATGAACCAATGGTACAATGGTTCCCAATTGTTTGAACTTTGATCCATGCAGCTTGTTTCAACTAGTGATATAATGTTTGATTGGTGTTGATGTGTTCTTTATTTCTATTTTTTTTATTCCATGGTATGCTAAACCTTTTTGTTTGTCAAGTTGCCCCGATAAACTTTTAACACAAGAATATTTGAAGTTGATGCTTACAATTAAGTACTTTTATTTTGTACTTGTTACGTGTATTGGAAAAGCATTATATTGTGTGCATTGTAAGTATGATTCAATTGTTTTAATTCTCTTCAGACTTATTCAACTTCATGGAAGCCACCTCGTGCAGGTGGACAAGCTGCAACTGCTGCTGGGCTTCTTATGGGAGATAAGGTAATTATTTACCCCATTCTATTTTATGACTTGAACAAGGAATAAAAAGCGTGCCTTGAAATAAATGGAAAAACTTTGGATTACTTAAAAGAAAAATAATTGAACATAATCTTGTAAAGACTTATCAGGTTGGAATCATGAATGATTCACCCAGCAAAATTGATTGCTTTTCATTTAATTGCAGATGGTTATATTTAGCATTTTAAAGTATTATATAGTTCAGAAGCATTATGTGTCTACTAACAACATTTTGTTTATATATATCTTCTGAGAGCATGATGATTTTATGAATTTTTCTTTTGTGATATTCAAGTTGATTGTTATTTTAGAAAAGAAATGTAAATTTGCCTACCTTTTTCTTCGTTACAGTTACACCTGCATCCAATTCATGCAGTTGTGCAGCTTCGACCAAAATTATATCATCTGAATTCTGGTGGTTCAAAAAGGAAGAATGTCACCTTAGCTGGGGCAAATGCTACAGTCAAAATTGAGGGCTCTAATGAAGAAAAGCCTGTTGCTACATCAAAGAAGCAGGTACCATGTATTTTTTCCATTCATGCATCATAGTTATTTTATTATGTCAGTTTAAATTTGATTTTACTAGAGCAAGGTGCCGGAATTATAGTTTTCATACAATGACATTGGCAATCTTGAATTATTTTTCCATGCACTTTTTTAGATAATTAGGTGGTTTATTTTAGGTTGGTTTATTTCAAGTAAATGTAGGATTAAAAAATCCATAATAGGCATGTATGTCCCCCCAAAAATAATAAAGTTACAAATGTTTGGTTGCTGCTTCATACTTACAAGATCATTGGCTTTGTTGTTCATAAATTGCTAAATTTAATATTTAGCAATTAGCACTTTGGTTCTATTTGTGCCAACTATGCTTGAAACTAGACATAGATTTTGTTATCTTGTGTGTTTAGTTCACAAGCTGTCTTGTTCCAGTATCAATCCATCTTGCAATTTTTTTCTGGTGCTTGTATTCTGTTAAGGCTTGTTAGCTAATTTCCTTCTAGCTAATATATTTTTCTTCTTTGTTGCAGAATAAGCCAACTGAACCATCTATTGAGCAAAAGAATGATGAGGATGAGGTACTATAGTAGTTAATCCTGCTGTGTGATTTACATATGATGTTTTTTGGTCTCTGCTGTGCATCTGCTCTGTCTATGCAAGGTTGAGTTTCAGTACAAGTCCATTGCTCCTCAGACTTGGCCTGTCTGTTGTCTCCATCTGGAAGTTTTGGCCAGACGAAGTAGTCTTGTAGCTGGGAAAGCTGCCTCTTTATGCTACCACTCCCTTGTCTAGTGAACCCTCTTCTCATTGTCAGACAGTCATTACTTTTGGCTGCATTCTGCTGGTTGCCCTTTTGGGTTGTTGTGAGAGTCATCTTCCCCGTTTCATGTCTATTATTTCTCAGTGCATTTTCTATTTGCTCTTTCCACTGTTCATACCTTTTAACGTTTGCAAATTAGTGTTGGATTTCGAGAGAAAGGATGGATCTCCTTCTTAAGAGAATAAGTTTTTCTTATCAGGCAATGGTTACAGAGAGTATTTCAACTAAAGGCTGTCCACTCAAGAATTATCTCTAACTCTCCTAATCTAGTAATTTTTCAGTTTGTTCATTTTAATCCTTGTCAAAGTTTTGTCTCCACAACTATACTCTGAATGCAATTTCTATTCCCTCCTCTCCCAGTTTATTTTTCTTAACATTTGCAGAAGTGTAGACGTTGGATTTCGAGGGAAAGGATGAAGTTTTAAGAGAATAAGTTTTTCTTATTGTCAGACAATGATTGCAAAGAGTATTTTTTAACTAAAGGCTGTCCATCAAGAACTACCTCCTCCTCAGTCTCTAAATCGAGTAGTTTTTTAAGTTTATTTCTCTCTATCATTTTCTTGTAAATCCTGGATTATGTACGCTGGAGCTCCTGATCACATAATTTCTAATCCTTCCCTTTCTCTAACTAATCTCCACAAAATCTCTGTATTTCGTCATGCCTGGCTATAATGTTAAGCTAGTGGCTACAGTCAAGTCTCTCCTTTTTTTTTTCCTGAAATTTGGATTACGTTCTTGTAGTGTCTTACAGTTCATTTAATTTAGTTTCCACTAATAAGTTGACATGCACTCTTTATTGTTCAATAACCTTTTTCTCTTATTATATGATGACAAATCCTAAGGGACAGTAAGGAAATAGGACCATTAATCCTCGAGGATAATATAAGACATTCTAAGATACAATAAAATATTTTTATAAGATGAAATTCATATATTCTAACAACTTCAATAAATGTTTATGGTTATGACCATGAATAATGGATGTAGGATTAGGACGATGGTTATTTTGTGTTTTTTGCACGGAACAATCAGTAACGAACTTGTGATACATTGATAAATAACATGTTCTCCTCTTAAATTAAGTAAGAAATAGTTCCATATATTTGCATTTTCTGTCAAGAATTTCTTAATGGTGATTTTGTTTCATAACATTCCGTTTATTTTAAGTTCCTGTTCTAATCAGTGTTATTTTTTTCTACATCGTGTGAAGAACTGGCTACCTCTTAAGTACCATAGCTGCAAGAGTGATCTCTCCTCTAGATATTTGGAGCAAATGATGGGACAAGAAAGTTCTCCTATAAACTTCACAATGAGAGCGTAATATGTCCTATTGTTCTTTTTGCACTCTTATCTGATATGTGAATTACTGAATTTTTGAAGTTTGTAAATCTTTGATTCAGGTTTGATTATGTTACCGCACTGTGTCCTGGAGGAACCAGCAACAATTTATCAAAGGCTCCTTCTAAAAGGTGCCGTCTTCCTTGAATGTCAAATTTTTTTAATTTAATTTTTGCCCCCTCATTTTTTATTAAAGGTTTTCCATTAGCTGTATGTAGGACTCACTCTTTGTCCTTCTGTATCTGCTAGTCTGTCCTTTTCTGTATATTTATTGTTATTGTTATATACTTTCTATTGCTTCTGTTGACTTCTTGATATTATGTTTCTTGCTCTTATAATTCTACATTGTTTATCTTTATTGGTTTATTCTATTGCTATTGACTTATAATTCTGACTATCGTGTGTATGCAAATTTAGGGATCTACTATCATTACCCGTGGAAGAGCGACTTAAGAAAATGCTGAAGGTTTGTAACATTATTTGTTTTTTATTGAGATAGGGACATTGAGATCTAGAATTCTTCCTCTTACTTCCTATGCTTGTTCATAGTTGACTACATTCTTATTTTTAAAGAAGATATTATGTATTCTGATAGGTATTCAGACCTATAATGAAATGCTTTAGAAACCGCAGATATTTATTCCAACAACATACCAGATTTCCTCCAATGTGGAGAAACCAAACACATAAAATTTCTGGTTATTCGAGAGAACCAGACTCTCCACTCTTCCTGTTCTTTTCAGAATGTACAAAATCAAATAAAAACCTACCCAAACTGACTTCCTACACAAACTTCATAAAAGTCTAAGACAACAAAACCTACCCACAGAAAGTTATAACTGTCTGTACCTTTTATTTCTCCTAATATAAACATTTCCCTTGAACCTATCATATTCCCAATTCACTACTGGTGTTTTATGTGTGTTAACTGTTATTAGTGGATATATTTATAGCAAATAATATGGACATGTGCACGAAACTGCTCATTGATAATATTGCAAACACTGAAGTTCTGCTTTCAGTATGAATGAAAAGTGTTTGTATTTAACACTGGTCTTAATTATTAACGAACTTGCTTATTTGGGTGGTAGTGCACACATCACAACTAATGTCTTTAAAATTAGATTGGTTACAGAACGAAATAAAGCAAGTATTCAGTTTATTAATTTAACTGTAGTTGAAATAGTGATAATTGAATATTTATCCATATCCGTAAGTAATAAATTAATGCAAAAATTTTATACATATCCGTAAGTAATAAATTAATGCAAAAATTTAAGTTAACATCAATGGACTGCATAGTTTTAAAAATAAGTTCAGAATTAACCTAAATACAGTCAAAAGTATGATGTATAGTTAGATTTCGTATAATACATATCAAAAGTAACAATGATTTCAAAAGAGGTTATGAATATTATAGGTAGGGGATTTTAATTTTCCCCCCATATAAAAATTCATTTGTTTGTGAATTGAATCAGCTAGTTCTTCTGTGCTGTAATCTTCTATTCGTGAATAATGTTTTTCTGTGCTACTTTTTATAACTTGCCTAACACTGCTCTTTATGATAGACATATACACCACAGCGTTTCAGTGCTATAAAACACTTTGCTCCTGAATACTCCGAGGAGGAAATTCTAAAATTCCTACAGCAACATGCAATATTGTTGTGGGGACTATGGACTGCAAAAAGTTCATTGCTATATCCTAATGGTGGCGCAGAATCTTTGGCAAGAGATTATGTCTTACTAATGTTTAGCAAGAATTTGAAAGTTCAGTCTTCTGATATGAATGTTCGAGGTGAACTTACTACTCATGTGAAGGAGTTCCTGAAGCAATTTGGCTTGGAAACAGCTAATCTTGATAAATCTGCTGGAGAACCAAAACCTTACTGGAAATTCAAAGAGCGACCTGATGAGTCATTCAAAAAACTCTATCCAGATATTGTTGAAAAACAGGAAAGACTTTTCAAAGGTTTGGAACAACATTTACCTGGTCTTGTATCAAATGCTGGAAAACGTAAAATTGGTAAAAGTGCTGTAGCAAACCAAGGTGTAAACAATGAGGCTCTTAAATCAGCAAGTTCTGATCAAGGGAGAACAAGTCTGGCTGGAGTGTCTACTGGGAAAATGACCATGTCAAATGAAACCCGACATGCTCTACCAATTGCCCTCAAGAAGCTTTTTCAGACTAACAAAGTTTGCAGGTACTGTTATAGAGACATCTATCCTTTTGCTTTGGTGATTTCCCATGTTGAAATTATTGTTGTGATAATATTGAGAAGCGCGATAGTTGTAGTTAACTTCATACCACTTACAACACACGTGCTTTATTTTTATTTTTTGTGTAATTGAAGAAATCAATTTTCTCTTTTGTTACATGAGATTTGTGTGTTTTGTTAACACCTTATGTTGTATTATGCATATATTTTAAAATGTTGTATCCCCGTGTTCTGGATTGTATGCTTTTCTTGATATAGTATGCAAAGACACCAAGAGATCACAAGCTGTGCTCACAACAGTCATTGGGCATGTAACTAGGTCCCATGTGGCATCAAGAATTTTATACTATTTTGTACAGGAGGGAGTGTAAAGCCACATGAAACTCTGCTGTATTTCTTTGGCCGTGGTACTTATGGCTGGAAGTGTCAGTCAGTGAATTGAAGAAATCTTTTGAGCTAATATTCTTTTGAAAAAACAAATAAAACAATGTTTTCTTTCTTATTCCAATGTCTTGCTGATTGGAATTTTTGTTTTGAACGGTTTGTTTGGAGTGATATTGAGGGACTTCAGTTCGACATAGGTGGGTGATCTGAAGAGAGATAAAATTTGTGTACGTGTTGCAGAAATGAGGTGGCTATGGTTCTAGGCTAAATTTATAAATAACTACTTTTTTGTCAGCTAATGTCTGGTGGTTTCCCTCAAACCAAATTCTTCATGGCAATTGGTTATTTGGATTAAATCTTTATTTAAATTGGGATAAGGTTGTAAGCTGCTGATGCCAGTCCTTGAAAATTCACCTCAGTGGTATGCATCTTTCTGACCAGTTTGTCACTCTTATAGTCATGGTGATAGTAATTGCATGAGGGGGGAATTCTCCTTCATTGAATATAATTTGGCTCAACAGAAGTTCTATATTTTTATCTTGTTTGACAGTTGTCTTCTGCTGTTTCTATTTATATTGGCAGTTTCAAAGTGATATGCCAAGGATTGCGTGAGATGGCAGTTTCCAAAGCCATGCTTTCAAAGGGAGATTCTAAAATTGCTGTGGATGCGGCTCACAGTCTTGATGGTCCACATAATGAGTTAATGGCAGTCATAAATGAAGTTTCATGTGAAATCCATGGTTATTATGTATTGAAATCATCACAAGATGATCCATTCAGGTTGGTTTTTCTCTTCCTCACCTCTACCCCCAAAAGGAAAATGTTTTCATTCCATGGGAGGTCTGAAAATTTAAAAAACAAGTAGCATATTTCATTTGTTAGATAATGCTAAGGACTGCATCTGTTTCTGTAGAGATGTTGTAATTGATATGCTTCGTGGAAGTGGACCCAATGCCAAGCTCAAGAAGGCTGAGATACTTGAAGCTGCAAGGAGAAAACTGGGTAGAGAGGTCCCTAACAACGAATATAATAAGGTGATTTTTTTTTTCATGAGTTGGCTGTGGTATGCTACTTATTTTTTTGTAGTTTACAAAAAGTACTAGGCATGGATATGATGTAAATAGACACAAAGACAGGAAACCTTGCACAATCTATCTTGAGACTTTGATATTTTAGACAAGATAAAAGAGAATGAAGGTCACCTGTGTAGCCATATTAATTTGAAAGTAGATAATGATTTTTTTAACATGGATAGAATGCAAATAAAAGCTTGACTGATGTTTTCCTGGTTTATTATCCTAATGGTTGTTTGTTTATCTTTTTCTGAAACAATTTCAGGTCATGAGTGAGTTATGTGTTTCAAAAGGTTCTGTTTGGGTCTTGAGAAACGGTGATGGAAGTAACCAATGATTGGGTTTTTGTACGACTTGTAAAGTCACTCCTTTCTCACTTCTTTCTGTTGTCCTGCTCAGGTATTTTGATTATCACGAATAGACATTATTAGAGGTTATGGATAATAGTCATTATTCTCAAAAGTGCAAATCTTGTCCCCTTTTTAGCTTTAGATAGGAGATGAAATAGTGTTTTTAACCAAAAGAAAAAGGATAAGAAATTTGATGAAAGGAAAACAGGAGTTCTTGAAGATTTCACCTTCACCTATTTATGGACGCCCAGCTGCTTTCACTTCTGAGATTATTGTTAACTCTAATTCATTGAGAATTTATACTTATATATTTTATTTCTTTATTATCTTTCTTTACTTGCTGAATACATTAAAAGGGTGTTTGAAATAGATTTTCTCCATGCTTAGAAATGCATATTTCTTTTCTATCTTTGTATTGATGAAATAAGAGTGAATATGAAAAAGTTAAGAGTTTTTTCTTATTTGGATAAAAAGAGAAATAAAGTGAGAAGAAAATTTAATTATATTAAATTGACATTCATCCCTTTAAAATGTAAATCAGCATAATTATGATATGGTACATGTTAGTTTTTTTTCAGTCACAATTATAACATTGAAGAATAGTTTTTTTTTAATCAGAACTAGATATTACAGCCATGAAAACTTATATTTTAAGTGGTGACAAAACTGCCATCGAATGTCATAATTGCCCTGTTGAAATTATGATGTAACGCTGATTTGTTAGTGATTATTATAATTATAATTAATATAATCATTCAGTTTTAAACAAACCAAAATAAGTAAGTAAAATGAAAATATAAAGGAAATCACAACAAACAAAAGACCCAACACAACAAACTATTGATTACTATCATTATTTTTAAGTGATTACTACTATTATTATTAAATTAATGCATGCACAAAATTTATTCTGCGTGATTCCTTTGTATTTATTTCTTGGAAAAGTGAATGATATTAATAAAAATAAATTCTTAAATTCAAAGTCCTTAAAGATATAAAAAAATTAAAATGAAAGATGTTCAAAGAATTCAAAATTGCATAATATATATTTCTTTTTTATGTATAAATATTGTATCGTTGTTATTTTCTCATTACTTTCAATATTTACTTTGATTTATTTATTTCTATGTGCATAGTGTAGCGAAACAATTAATATTAATAAAAAAAATCATCAATACATGTTTGTTATTAATAAAAAAAAATTGAATTACAATCTCTCTTGCATCTCCTTCTAAAATTTTCAAATCAACCTTAAAATTTAAAATTTAAAATTCAACAAATATATTATGTAAAAAACACAGGCAAACATATTACTTATCAAGTAAATATACAAATACCACACACGAAATGAATTTGCAGCATACACACATGTATAGGTTAATGTACGTTTATATGAATTATTGACACTCGTTATTCGTCTCAAACCTATGAAACAAAGAAGTTTTTGTTGTAAATAAAATACATAGGAAGAATTTTTTTACGACATTTATTAACTATCACAGTTATAAAGGATGAACTTATGCAACCACTTATTTTAAACATGATAAAACTTGTAAACAAATATGAAAAAAANCCTTGAATGTCAAATTTTTTTAATTTAATTTTTGCCCCCTCATTTTTTATTAAAGGTTTTCCATTAGCTGTATGTAGGACTCACTCTTTGTCCTTCTGTATCTGCTAGTCTGTCCTTTTCTGTATATTTATTGTTATTGTTATATACTTTCTATTGCTTCTGTTGACTTCTTGATATTATGTTTCTTGCTCTTATAATTCTACATTGTTTATCTTTATTGGTTTATTCTATTGCTATTGACTTATAATTCTGACTATCGTGTGTATGCAAATTTAGGGATCTACTATCATTACCCGTGGAAGAGCGACTTAAGAAAATGCTGAAGGTTTGTAACATTATTTGTTTTTTATTGAGATAGGGACATTGAGATCTAGAATTCTTCCTCTTACTTCCTATGCTTGTTCATAGTTGACTACATTCTTATTTTTAAAGAAGATATTATGTATTCTGATAGGTATTCAGACCTATAATGAAATGCTTTAGAAACCGCAGATATTTATTCCAACAACATACCAGATTTCCTCCGATGTGGAGAAACCAAACACATAAAATTTCTGGTTATTCGAGAGAACCAGACTCTCCACTCTTCCTGTTCTTTTCAGAATGTACAAAATCAAATAAAAACCTACCCAAACTGACTTCCTACACAAACTTCATAAAAGTCTAAGACAACAAAACCTACCCACAGAAAGTTATAACTGTCTGTACCTTTTATTTCTCCTAATATAAACATTTCCCTTGAACCTATCATATTCCCAATTCACTACTGGTGTTTTATGTGTGTTAACTGTTATTAGTGGATATATTTATAGCAAATAATATGGACATGTGCACGAAACTGCTCATTGATAATATTGCAAACACTGAAGTTCTGCTTTCAGTATGAATGAAAAGTGTTTGTATTTAACACTGGTCTTAATTATTAACGAACTTGCTTATTTGGGTGGTAGTGCACACATCACAACTAATGTCTTTAAAATTAGATTGGTTACAGAACGAAATAAAGCAAGTATTCAGTTTATTAATTTAACTGTAGTTGAAATAGTGATAATTGAATATTTATCCATATCCGTAAGTAATAAATTAATGCAAAAATTTTATACATATCCGTAAGTAATAAATTAATGCAAAAATTTAAGTTAACATCAATGGACTGCATAGTTTTAAAAATAAGTTCAGTATTAACCTAAATACAGTCAAAAGTATGATGTATAGTTAGATTTCGTATAATACATATCAAAAGTAACAATGATTTCAAAGGAGGTTATGAATATTATAGGTAGGGGATTTTAATTTTCCCCCCATATAAAAATTCATTTGTTTGTGAATTGAATCAGCTAGTTCTTCTGTGCTGTAATCTTCTATTCGTGAATAATGTTTTTCTGTGCTACTTTTTATAACTTGCCTAACACTGCTCTTTATGATAGACATATACACCACAGCGTTTCAGTGCTATAAAACACTTTGCTCCTGAATACTCCGAGGAGGAAATTCTAAAATTCCTACAGCAACATGCAATATTGTTGTGGGGACTATGGACTGCAAAAAGTTCATTGCTATATCCTAATGGTGGCGCAGAATCTTTGGCGAGAGATTATGTCTTACTAATGTTTAGCAAGAATTTGAAAGTTCAGTCTTCTGATATGAATGTTCGAGGTGAACTTACTACTCATGTGAAGGAGTTCCTGAAGCAATTTGGCTTGGAAACAGCTAATCTTGATAAATCTGCTGGAGAACCAAAACCTTACTGGAAATTCAAAGAGCGACCTGATGAGTCATTCAAAAAACTCTATCCAGATATTGTTGAAAAACAGGAAAGACTTTTCAAAGGTTTGGAACAACATTTACCTGGTCTTGTATCAAATGCTGGAAAACGTAAAATTGGTAAAAGTGCTGTAGCAAACCAAGGTGTAAACAATGAGGCTCTTAAATCAGCAAGTTCTGATCAAGGGAGAACAAGTCTGGCTGGAGTGTCTACTGGGAAAATGACCATGTCAAATGAAACCCGACATGCTCTACCAATTGCCCTCAAGAAGCTTTTTCAGACTAACAAAGTTTGCAGGTACTGTTATAGAGACATCTATCCTTTTGCTTTGGTGATTTCCCATGTTGAAATTATTGTTGTGATAATATTGAGAAGCGCGATAGTTGTAGTTAACTTCATACCACTTACAACACACGTGCTTTATTTTTATTTTTTGTGTAATTGAAGAAATCAATTTTCTCTTTTGTTACATGAGATTTGTGTGTTTTGTTAACACCTTATGTTGTATTATGCATATATTTTAAAATGTTGTATCCCCGTGTTCTGGATTGTATGCTTTTCTTGATATAGTATGCAAAGACACCAAGAGATCACAAGCTGTGCTCGCAACAGTCATTGGGCATGTAACTAGGTCCCATGTGGCATCAAGAATTTTATACTATTTTGTACAGGAGGGAGTGTAAAGCCACATGAAACTCTGCTGTATTTCTTTGGCCGTGGTACTTATGGCTGGAAGTGTCAGTCAGTGAATTGAAGAAATCTTTTGAGCTAATATTCTTTTGAAAAAACAAATAAAACAATGTTTTCTTTCTTATTCCAATGTCTTGCTGATTGGAATTTTTGTTTTGAACGGTTTGTTTGGAGTGATATTGAGGGACTTCAGTTCGACATAGGTGGGTGATCTGAAGAGAGATAAAATTTGTGTACGTGTTGCAGAAATGAGGTGGCTATGGTTCTGGGCTAAATTTATAAATAACTACTTTTTTGTCAGCTAATGTCTGGTGGTTTCCCTCAAACCAAATTCTTCATGGCAATTGGTTATTTGGATTAAATCTTTATTTAAATTGGGATAAGGTTGTAAGCTGCTGATGCCAGTCCTTGAAAATTCACCTCAGTGGTATGCATCTTTCTGACCAGTTTGTCACTCTTATAGTCATGGTGATAGTAATTGCATGAGGGGGGAATTCTCCTTCATTGAATATAATTTGGCTCAACAGAAGTTCTATATTTTTATCTTGTTTGACAGTTGTCTTCTGCTGTTTCTATTTATATTGGCAGTTTCAAAGTGATATGCCAAGGATTGCGTGAGATGGCAGTTTCCAAAGCCATGCTTTCAAAGGGAGATTCTAAAATTGCTGTGGATGCGGCTCACAGTCTTGATGGTCCACATAATGAGTTAATGGCAGTCATAAATGAAGTTTCATGTGAAATCCATGGTTATTATGTATTGAAATCATCACAAGATGATCCATTCAGGTTGGTTTTTCTCTTCCTCACCTCTACCCCCAAAAGGAAAATGTTTTCATTCCATGGGAGGTCTGAAAATTTAAAAAACAAGTAGCATATTTCATTTGTTAGATAATGCTAAGGACTGCATCTGTTTCTGTAGAGATGTTGTAATTGATATGCTTCGTGGAAGTGGACCCAATGCCAAGCTCAAGAAGGCTGAGATACTTGAAGCTGCAAGGAGAAAACTGGGTAGAGAGGTCCCTAACAACGAATATAACAAGGTGATTTTTTTTTTCATGAGTTGGCTGTGGTATGCTACTTATTTATTTGTAGTTTACAAAAAGTACTAGGCATGGATATGATGTAAATAGACACAAAGACAGGAAACCTTGCACAATCTATCTTGAGACTTTGATATTTTAGACAAGATAAAAGAGAATGAAGGTCACCTGTGTAGCCATATTAATTTGAAAGTAGATAATGATTTTTTTAACATGGATAGAATGCAAATAAAAGCTTGACTGATGTTTTCCTGGTTTATTATCCTAATGGTTGTTTGTTTATCTTTTTCTGAAACAATTTCAGGTCATGAGTGAGTTATGTGTTTCAAAAGGTTCTGTTTGGGTCTTGAGAAACGGTGATGGAAGTAACCAATGATTGGGTTTTTGTACGACTTGTAAAGTCACTCCTTTCTCACTTCTTTCTGTTGTCCTGCTCAGGTATTTTGATTATCACGAATAGACATTATTAGAGGTTATGGATAATAGTCATTATTCTCAAAAGTGCAAATCTTGTCCCCTTTTTAGCTTTAGATAGGAGATGAAATAGTGTTTTTAACCAAAAGAAAAAGGATAAGAAATTTGATGAAAGGAAAACAGGAGTTCTTGAAGATTTCACCTTCACCTATTTATGGACGCCCAGCTGCTTTCACTTCTGAGATTATTGTTAACTCTAATTCATTGAGAATTTATACTTATATATTTTATTTCTTTATTATCTTTCTTTACTTGCTGAATACATTAAAAGGGTGTTTGAAATAGATTTTCTCCATGCTTAGAAATGCATATTTCTTTTCTATCTTTGTATTGATGAAATAAGAGTGAATATGAAAAAGTTAAGAGTTTTTTCTTATTTGGATAAAAAGAGAAATAAAGTGAGAAGAAAATTTAATTATATTAAATTGACATTCATCCCTTTAAAATGTAAATCAGCATAATTATGATATGGTACATGTTAGTTTTTTTTCAGTCACAATTATAACATTGAAGAATAGTTTTTTTTTAAACAGAACTAGATATTACAGCCATGAAAACTTATATTTTAAGTGGTGACAAAACTGCCATCGAATGTCATAATTGCCCTGTTGAAATTATGATGTAACGCTGATTTGTTAGTGATTATTATAATTATAATTAATATAATCATTCAGTTTTAAACAAACCAAAATAAGTAAGTAAAATGAAAATATAAAGGAAATCACAACAAACAAAAGACCCAACACAACAAACTATTGATTACTATCATTATTTTTAAGTGATTACTACTATTATTATTAAATTAATGCATGCACAAAATTTATTCTGCGTGATTCCTTTGTATTTATTTCTTGGAAAAGTGAATGATATTAATAAAAATAAATTCTTAAATTCAAAGTCCTTAAAGATATAAAAAAATTAAAATGAAAGATGTTCAAAGAATTCAAAATTGCATAATATATATTTCTTTTTTATGTATAAATATTGTATCGTTGTTATTTTCTCATTACTTTCAATATTTACTTTGATTTATTTATTTCTATGTGCATAGTGTAGCGAAACAATTAATATTAATAAAAAAAATCATCAATACATGTTTGTTATTAATAAAAAAAAATTGAATTACAATCTCTCTTGCATCTCCTTCTAAAATTTTCAAATCAACCTTAAAATTTAAAATTTAAAATTCAACAAATATATTATGTAAAAAACACAGGCAAACATATTACTTATCAAGTAAATATACAAATACCACACACGAAATGAATTTGCAGCATACACACATGTATAGGTTAATGTACGTTTATATGAATTATTGACACTCGTTATTCGTCTCAAACCTATGAAACAAAGAAGTTTTTGTTGTAAATAAAATACATAGGAAGAATTTTTTTACGACATTTATTAACTATCACAGTTATAAAGGATGAACTTATGCAACCACTTATTTTAAACATGATAAAACTTGTAAACAAATATGAAAAAAAAAAGAGAAGAAAATGGAGCAGGTGGATATGCATTTGTTCAACTAATTCATCAAGTTAAGTATAATATTTTTTTAAAGGGTAATTATTTTTATAAAAGAAACTATATTTTTTCAAAAAATTCATATGGATTTTACTGAATTCGTTATAAAGAATACAACAATATTGACTCGTATATAGTGTTTCGTTGAATTTATTTAACTAATTAACTAAAAAGCTTAAGGGTGATTCACATTTAACTTGATTATATAATTAAAGAATAGGGGAAAACTCAACTCATTTACACTTAGTTGTTGGTAAGTGACACAATCTATGAGGTAATTTGACTGACAAATTGACTAGAACACTAAGAACTTTAGAAGAAAAGGAGTTTGAAAAAAGAAAATAGTTATGGAATAATGAATTTGGAGTGAGAAGGAAGTTTGGAAGATGGTAAAGAAGACTGAAAAAGTACCTCTGAAGTCTAAATGAAGCTATCCACTTAATTACATTACAATTTAAAATCTAAACAATTAAATTATTTTAACATATGAATTGAGAAGAAACCCTAAATATGATATTTTTAAAGAAAAGTTAAAACACTCTGTTCCTATTAAAAGGAAACAACAGAGAAAGGGAAAGGGGGAAAACAGAGTGTTGCGTTGCGAAGGGGTAGACTTTGCCCAGTCGTCACGCGTTGTTGAGAGCACCGAACACTTCACTGTGAAAAAACCTTTTCCGTTGATCTTGTTTGGATCAGAATCAGAATCAGAAGATGAGCGATAATCTGATGGAAAAAGTGAATGCTTTGGGGGAGCGTCTGAAAATCGGAGGAGTGGAAGTGGGTCGGAAGATGAGTGAGGGAATGAGTTCGATGAGCTTCAAGGTCAGAGAGTTCTTCCAGGGCCCGAATCAGGCCGACAAGCTGGTGGAGGACGCCACTTCGGAGGCCCTAGACGAGCCCGATTGGGCCCTCAACCTCGATCTCTGCGACCTCATCAACACCGACAAGCTCTCCAGCGTAGAGCTCATAAGGGGAATCAAGAAGAGGATCATGGTGAAAAGCCCTAGGGTTCAGTACCTCGCCCTCGTCCTCCTCGAAACCTGCGTCAAAAACTGCGAGAAGGCCTTCTCCGAGGTCGCCGCCGAGCGTGTTCTCGACGAGATGGTCAGACTCATCGACGACCCCCAGACGGTCGTCAAAAACCGGAACAAGGCCTTGATGATGATCGAAGCCTGGGGTGAGTCAACCGGCGAGTTGCGATATCTCCCCGTCTTTGAAGAAACTTACAAGGTTCTCTCTCTGTTTCTGTCTTCACTTTTAGTTGAATTCAAACAGTTTGAGACCAAAGCCTGTGAATTAATTAACTGGTGTGAGAATTTTTCGGTTATATTTAGGAGTTTTTTTTGTTGTTTTTCAGAGTCTGAAATCGAGGGGTATAAGGTTTCCTGGTCGTGACAATGAAAGCTTGGCTCCTATATTCACTCCGCCTCGTTCAGTTTCTGCTACGGAGGTTGATGTCAGTCTTCAACAGCAGTTTGAGCATGATGTTCCTGGGCAGTTTGAGCATGATGTTCCTGTTCAGAGTTTTTCTCCTGAACAGACTAAGGAAGCCTTTGATGTTGCGAGAAATAGCATTGAGCTTCTTTCCACTGTGTTGTCGTCTTCGCCGCAACAGGATGCTTTACAGGTATATTCGTTGTGGTGGTCTGATGTTAGTAATTGCTATTTTTGAATGTGTTGTTTCGTTGCTCTCGATTGATTTTGACCATAAGTAATTTAGGTTTGGATTACGACCGATTTCTGTTATTTGTGGATGGGATATGGATATAACTTCAGTTGCTTTTGTAACTAATAGCCTCTGATGTTGTTGCATGACCTTTTCTCTCATCAAAATTTACTCTGTGCTGTGATGGCCTCTGTTTTGCTTACTGTCTTGTGCTTTTCACAATACGAAAGCGGACAGTTTTCTTAAATCTATAAAGTTGTCAGTTTGAACTCACTGGTGATGGAAAAATTGTAGATATTGTGGTTATGGAAATGTCATCTACTGTAAACGTAAACCACTTGGGTATTATCTTCACAAGGTTTTGTCCAGTGTATCTCCGTATTTTACTCTGACTGGTCAGTGTTTATCTTGAGCTACTTTACTATGTAAATATTTGTTCTTTTGAAAATCTTTTATTGGTTTAGAATTATGTGTTACACTATATATATATATATATATATATATAGTCATAAAAAATCGTGAGTGGTATTTGTCAATGCAAGACTTTGTTCTTTGGATTATTTTATTTTGAAGTATAGAAATTTAAAAAGTGTTGTAAAACTGAAATAGACTTAAGAAATTGGTCTTCTCCATAGGCAGTTGACGGAACCGATTTATTGATGATGTTTTCAGTGATAATAGTAATGATATCCTCTCCAAAGAAACAAAATGAACTGGTAATGCTTGTTATAGTTTATTGAAGTTAATTATATCTTGTATGGTTTCCAGTATCGAGATTTATTATCCCCCTTGGCCATGATAATGCAGTGATGGGTATTCTTTATCTGAAATTTTGAATTACTGGTTTATTAGGATGATGGGTACTACAAAGAGGGATGCCATTTATTCAATAATCTCTTAATTATNATATATATATATATATATATATATAGTCATAAAAAATCGTGAGTGGTATTTGTCAATGCAAGACTTTGTTCTTTGGATTATTTTATTTTGAAGTATAGAAATTTAAAAAGTGTTGTAAAACTGAAATAGACTTAAGAAATTGGTCTTCTCCGTAGGCAGTTGAGGGAACCGATTTATTGATGATGATTTCAGTGATAATAGTAATGATATCCTCTCCAAAGAAACAAAATGAACTGGTAATGCTTGTTATAGTTTATTGAAGTTAATTATATCTTGTATGGTTTCCAGTATCGAGATTTATTATCCCCCTTGGCCATGATAATGCAGTGATGGGTATTCTTTATCTGAAATTTTGAATTACTGGTTTATTAGGATGATGGGTACTACAAAGAGGGATGCCATTTATTCAATAATCTCTTAATTATCCTATTTACTTAATTAGGCAACACCCAGTCAAGAACTTATTCTAAACTACCCTTGCAAATTCCGCAAATAAAAGTCAGTTTTAACCATGTGATGTACCTTGCTAGAGAAGAAGCGTATTGAATCAGGCATTGATGAATTGCCAAAAATGTAAACGTGACCATTTCTTCCATCTGCAGGATGATTTGACCTCCACACTTGTACAGCAGTGTCGTCGGTCACAAACTACTGTGCAGAGAATTGTTGAAACTGCTGGGGATAATGAAGCACTGCTTTTTGAGGCCTTGAACGTTAACGATGAGATTCAGAAGGTTCTGACCAAGTACGAAGAGTTGAAGCAGCCTGCAGCTGCTCCACTTCAGCCTGAACCAGCCATGATACCAGTTGCTGTGGAGCCAGACGAATCACCACGCCATATTAAAGAAGATGCCTTGATTAGAAAGCCCGCTGGATCAAGAACACCCCAGGGAGGAAGCAACGATGACATGATGGATGATCTTGATGAGATGATTTTTGGGAAAAAAAGTGGTGAAGCATCAGATGGGGGACACGATACAAAGAAACAGCAAACATCGAAAGATGATCTCATCTCT